CACGTTACTGGTGAAACCCACGTTACTGAAGGTCAGGCTAGAGCTTACCAGAGACATGTACTCATTATAACAGTACCAGATTCCTGACAGAAAACAAGAACACAAGATTATGACACAGAAAAATCACTATTAGCTAACATCAGTGTTTAAGATTTATAAATAAGGCATCAAAAATATGATCAGCTATTTTAGACGCTAAAAAGCACAGAAACATTCATTATTCATTAATCACTCATTAATCTTCAATGAAATCATGTGCAACTATGTGTCCAGCATCTAGTACATTATAAAAGCATGTGATGTTTCAGTGAGATTTCTGAGCTGAACGAATGACAGAAAACACGTCAGATGCACATTGTTTCTCACGGCTGGTTAGGACAAAAACTCTGATGAACAAGTCAGATATGAGATTAATCACTTGAGGATGTCACAGTGTAACAAGTTAAGAGAAGCATTTAATAAACACACTGGTCACCGTACCGAAGGCGCCGACTGCCAGAACGCCGATGATGAGAACCCAGACGAGAACCGGCGCCGTGAAACGCAGCAGCAGCAGAAAGAGAACGCTGACCACCATCGCAATCACCAGACCACTGACACACAGAGCGACAAGTCAATGCAAAATCGCAAATATGACACAAAAACTCTCACAGAACCTCATAGTCAACAACATAAAATCTCCCAATAATAAATGCCAAAATATGCATGCTATTTCAAATATTTTAACAGTTTAAATTGCAGCAGTAATTATAGTCTGGTAATATTTAGTAATTAGTGGTCGACCGATATATCGCCAAGGCCGATATATTATTGGCATTTTTTGAAATATCGGCCGATAAGTTTTTCTGTTTGGCCGATGCATTCGAGGCGGGACTTTTATTTTGACGGCGCTGACAGCGGCAGGATGTCGAGAATACTTTTTGTATATAAAATACTTTTTTTAACGTTATTTTTGTTTTCTTCGCGAACAAAAAGTACTCTCGTCGCTTCATAACGTTACGGTTGAACCATTGATGACAGATGGACTATTCTGACGATGTATTTAATACTTTTCTGGACCTTGACAGTGTAAGTTACTTGGCAGTCAATGGGACAGTCACAAGCCTCCCGGTTTTCATCCAAAATATCTTAAATTGTGTTCTGAAGATGAACGAAGCTTTTATGGGTTTGGAACGACGTGGGGGTAAATGATTAATGACAAAATTTTCATTTTAGGGTGAAGTATCTCTTTAACAGTTCTGTCTAAATACGGCTAGAAGTCTGTTTAATAATCCGATAGAACTGTTAAACAAAATAATTAAAATGTATACAAAAAGTATTATAACAATTGCTTTTATACTATTAGACATTTACATAATTTAAACAAATCTTTGAATGGCTAATGAACATTTAATTTCACAAACCTTGCAAACTTAGTCAAATCCAGTTGTGAGATCTTGTGAAGTGTGCATGTGACCTGCATGATCGCGTGTTCTCTGCTTGACTTTCGGTCCGTGCAAATCAAATGTTTTTTAACATTAAATTTGTGATTTAAAATTATGCTGCGCTTTATGCATTTGCCCAATGTCATATTCATGTCATTTTCACTGTGTGCTGTATGAAACATGAGTGTTACCTTGGCTTTATTTGAAAAAATATGATTCCCAATGCACACAAACTTCCCAGAATACTGAGTGCTCAGTTGGTTACACTGTTTACGTCCTTTTTAATTCTATTTTTATTAAATATTTATTTATTTGTGAAAAATACTTTGTCATCTAAAGTATAAGTATGTTTATTTTACACATTTATTTTTTAATCCATTTTCAAATGATTTCAAATTTCTTAAATATTAATTAAAATAAATACAATTATATCGGCTTTATATCGGCCACCCTGCTTTTCAAGATATCGGCATCGGCTCCCAAAAAAACAATATCGGTCGACCACTATTAGAAATGAAATAAAAAATCCCCTACAAAATCAATTGTTGAGTTCTGAATGAATTACATATCATATAATTATATTTTTAACACAAGTTTTATAACATAAGTTTATAAATTATTACAAAGTAGCTTTATTATTTTTTATTATTATTACATGTATTATTAAATATTATAATTTATTATTAAATATTATTTAATAACATACAGTACAATTTGTTATATACATATCTATCTATCTATCTATCTATCTAACAAATTGTATGTTATTAAATAACTGATAATTAATTATAATTGATAATTAAAATAAAATAAATATATATACACATAATATATATATATATATATATATATATATATATATATATATATACTTTCACTCAAAATTCACACACACGTAACATAAAATCTTTGATGTTGAAGCTGTTGGTGACGTCACTGTGAACACAGAAACACTGTCAGAATCATCACAGCGTGCTCCAGCACTGACAGACCCGCACGTCCCGGGGTGGAGGGCTGCTTTGTCCCTTTGTAAAGCTGTACGGACTTTACAAAGCATTTGTCAAAGCTCACAAATGAAGCTCTGGAAGAAGCCACAGACGGACTAGAAGCTCTAAAACGACTACAGCTACACGTCCTTCACCCTACAGACAGACAGACAGACGTCTATTGCTACACACATCTGTCACTCACTTTGTCGCCCCTCCAGCACTGGCAACAAGAGAGACACGCGTCAGTATCACACACACAGACACATGCATATTTCATTACTATATTTTGAGAAATAATGTGTCCTCGCGAATGTGCTAAATGTGACAAAACCCCCATTTGTGGACATCCTCAAAACACCAAATAAGAGAATCAAATAATATATTCCTTCAATATAAAATTGCAAAGGTTTTCTAGTGAGGTCAGTCCATAATTTTTTATAATTAGCTGTTTAGAATAACAATACGAATCGATAGCATGTACTTATTTAGATTTAATATAATAGATATTTAATACAATCGTTCAGTGTTTTTGATCAGCTGATATCCGGGAAAAAAAGCTGAATTATGCAAAACAGATAATGTTAATGACCACAAATGAGATAGACAGAAAGACAGCTGATTTAATCTTATTAAATATGAAATGAAATACAAATATCTAATACTTATATATTATTGACAGCTTTATTTCGATTGAAAACTTTTTTTTTTATTTAAGCTTTAATTTATTTAACTTTTTAGTCATTTACTACTTATTTTCAATTTATCATTTACATCCAATCCATGAAGAGTGAAGTTTGTGGGAAAGTTACTGGGATTATAGGCAATTCCTCCCAAACTGGGCAAACACCGTCCCAACACTAAACAGACAGATATGTGAGGATATTATAAAGATGGGTAAATCACATGGTGTTCAATGACTGTATTCTTCATCTTCTTTCACTCACCGGAGGTTGTCGGCATGTAGAATAAAGGACACAACTCTTTATTTACAATGTCCATAGCTGACTGAGAGAGAGAGAGAGGGGTGTAAGAAAACAACCACATTTTTACAATTTTTCTTTATTAGATAACATACTACTAAGGCACAGATCATTAAAATACGAACAATCAGTCATCATATAATCTGCAGCAGCAGGGAACAGGACGACTGTCAACAAATGACAGTTGAACAACAGAAAGAAAGTCACACAGGTCACAAATGGCAATCCTGTCATCATTTACACACACACGTACTCACATATATCGTGTCTTTCAGCTGTAAGGACGGGACACAGTACTCCTGTTTGAAAAAATCAGCCGGTTTTGCACCTGGGAAGTGGGCGCTGGGAGGCAAAATCCAGAACTCTGACGGACACGTCTTCACACACACCTACAACACACAAACAATCACACACATTCAACATAAAACGTCACGATTCATGAAACGGTATGGTATGCATGACACCAACTTTGTCTCAGATTTGTATCCTAAAATTCCTTAGGGGAAATAAAACAGACACAAACGAGTCAATATCTGTCATATGATAAGAATTTAGAGCTATAAAATGAATGTGGAAAAGGAAAAGCAGGAGACTTCAATACACCTGATTGATCAGTATTTAGTATCATTCAGTTACTTTATTGTTTTTAATTATATACATTTATTATATTTTTATTATATATGATTAAATAAATATTTTGTAGTTTTGTTGTGTATTTTTATTAGCTTTTTAAAATAAATACATAGAAAGAGGTACTTACAAATTACTATATAGTAGTGCTGTCAAACGATTAATCGCAATTAATCGCATCCAAAATAAAAGTTTTTGTTTACATAATATATGTATGTGTGCTGTGTATATTTATTATGTATATATAAATGCACACACATGCATGTATGTATTTCAGAAAAATATGTTATGTTTATAGATTAAATATATTTATTTATAATATAAATTATTTGAATCTAAATATAGACATGGAAATACATGGAAATATTTTCAAAATATATACTGTATGCGTGCATTTATTTATATATACACATAATAAATATACACAGTACACAAACATATATTATGCAAACAAAAACTTTTATTTTGTATGCGATTAATCGCGATTAATCGTTTGACAGCACTACTAATATATATATATATATATATAGTCATTTTGTTTTGTGTTTTTATAATTTTTTTATTAGTTTTTTATATAAATACTGTAAAAGAGAGAGAGAATAGGAGAGAGAGAGAGATTATTAATTCTTAATTTCAGTTTTAGTTATTTTAGTACACAAGTTACTAAATGTAAATGAGAAATATATTATTTCAGTTGATGTTTATACTTGATTTAAAGCAACGCAAATCTTTTTAATGGTTTCGGTTGTATGCATAGTTCAATGGTTTTAGTAGATATAAACAATGTTGTAATCCACATTTTCTACGAATGACAGCAACTATAATCTTAATCACATTTTAAAGGTGCACTAAGCGATTTTTAGAAAAAACGCTTTTGACCACAGTGTTGGACCGAGCCCCAAAACACACTTGTAGCCAATCAGCAGTAAGGGGCGTCACTGTCACATATGTGATCAAAAAGACATGACAAAACTTTTAATAAAGTCACATTAACAATGTCCAGATCATCAAAAGATAATCAAAGCAAGTAGCATTTTAATATAATGCAACATTTTTATAATATAATATAATATAAACAATGTAACAATATAATATTTGTGCACCTGTCTTATTTATATTTTATCTAGTGCAACATTCTAAACCGTAAATATAATCCTGTAAATTCTAAACTCTAAATATAATATAATATATTAATGAAATAAAATAACATTTGTGAAACTGTCTTTTGTTTATATTAAATTTTTTTCAGAACTGAATTTTGGCTCCCTTTCATTTAATGAGCTGGAATTTTAATTGAATTGGCCACGACACACACGAAGTTGAATTGCAATTCCAAGAAAACAAACACAGGTAACGCATGAAAATGAAGTGTTTTCTTTTAGGGTTATTGTTAGTGTACGGCAGTTATAATTAGTTTTATATCAAAACATATTTGGACTTCACATAAACAGCTAAATAAACTTGTGTCTGTGTTCATTTCTACTTTCAGCAGAAACAATCACATTGTGTTACCCATAACCCTTTGCCCTCTCAAGTATTTACTTATTGCACGTTAAGGGAGGCAGGCCGAATTCAATTTCCATATTGCTTTCAGTTCAAAGTAAACACAGCACCAATACACACAGAGTAAGTATGTGTGCGTCTGAGCGCTGCACAGTGATGAGACCCAGACAGAGACAGGAAGACACAGACAGATAGACACAGAAATAGAGAAATGAACAAGAACTTACCCAGAATTCCTACCACCATGTAACCGGCGATGACCACCATGAACAGAACGCAGCATATGATGTCCGTACAGCTCCTACAGACACACAAGCACACACCTTACAGAACTGCTCAAGATCATATTTCACCACAAATTCAAAAGAAAGACATTTTTATGCATGAAGTATTGAAGGAATAGTTCACCCAAAAAATTACATTTGCTGAAAATGTACTCTCTCAGGCCATCCAAGATGAGAGATGAAGATGTAGAGATGTAGAAATTTACTCTGCAGTGAATGGGTGCCGTCAGAATGAGAGTCCAAACAGCTGATAAAAATGTCACAAAAATCCACACCACTCCAGTTGACCTGTGCATACAGTATTTCTCTCCTGATTCAGACTAGACAACATTTTCACTGGAGGAAGCAATATTAGGGATAGAGGACTTGTATTTTAGCTGGATTTCCATAAAGGATGGATTTATTTCTTACAACTCACAACATTTCACTTCACAAGATATTAACTGATGGACTGGAGTGGTGTGGATTATTGTGTTTTTATCAGCTGTTTGGACTCTCATTCTGACGGCACCCATTCACTGCAGAGGATCCATTGGTGAGCAAGTCATGTAATGCTACATTTCTCCACATCTGATGAATAAAAAAACTCATCTACATCTTGGATGGTCTGAGGATGAGCACATTTTTAGCAAATATTCATTTTTGGGTAAACTGTTCCTTCAACTATTCCTTTACTCCATAATAGTATTTGCCTAATTTATACTGGAAAAAATGCATGCATTACTGTAGTGTTGTCATGGAACTTTTATTTAGTTGTTTATTTAACAGGGACAATGCAGAAGCACATTGCAGATGCTCTACATACAGGCTTCTAGCCAATGGCTAATTTGCAGCCCCAGTCCCTGGCTAATGTCACAATGCAAAAAATAGACTTTTTAAAATCAATTCTTTTAATTTTGTGGACATGCATTCGTGAGACTGACACATACACACCTGTTGTGAATGGGGCCGGTGAATGTGGGGTCAAATTGAGCTGGTTCACCTGAAAAACAAGCTCAGTTTAGATCAGTGGTCAGCGTGTGTATCGTTTAATATATTAATATACTGTATTTATATATTTAATATATTATATTTCATGCTAAAATCATTTGTAAGCTGTTTTTCAAAGATGAAAAACAGGTCTCACTAAGTATGAGTCAAATAAAATAGACAAGGGGTTTATCACATCATGTGACTGTGTGTCAGTCGTCCGTGAGGGTTTGTTGCCTGGCAACTGCAGTGTTTCATGTTGGTTTAATGCCACACACAGGTATGAAAGCATCAAATACTAACACTGAAGCTTTTCTACCCTTTAAACAGGAGAGGAAAGAGAGACAGATGGAATAAAAATGGGATGATTTGAATATCATTTGAATTCAAAGATGGAGCCAAACAGCAGACACAAAGTCGGTCAGTAGGGCTGGGTATCGTTCAAAAAATTTCGATATCGATACCGATACCGATACCTTGACTTCGATACCGGTTCCTGAACGATACTCGGAAATTATTACAAACACTCGATGGTGGTTTAAAGTGAGTTTTGAGTAAAAGCGGAATATAAATCTTATTTATTGTCTTATGTAGCATGATGCTACAGTTTGCATGAATGGTCACATAACACGCGCATTCGGTCGTGTAGTATGAACGGACATCTGCATATGATCGGAACTCCACGCAGCTCCCGCGCTAATGACTGAATGACCGGTCGCTTGTCGGAGATAGTGGAAAGCCGGCTTGAAACGCAGTGGAAACGCCAGTATGACGAGGATCGTTTTCATTTTAAAACATAAAAGCACCAGTGTAAATGTAGCCTTACATCTAAGGGGGCTGGGACGCATTCGCACTACAGCCTCACGTGTGCGCCACATCTCTGGGTGTAACCGGTGTAAACTAGTAGATGTGTTCGACTTGACGCGGACCGACTGTGCAGACCGATCGGTGTATTACAGCAGTGGTTCCCAACCCTGGTCCTGGAGGCACCCCCACACTGCACCTTTTGCATGTTTCCTTTCTCTGACACACCCGTTTCAGGTCTTGGAGTCTTCTAATGAGCTGATGATCTGAATCAGGTGTGTTTGATTAAGGAGACATGCAAAACGTGCAGTGTTGGGGTCCCTCCAGGACCAGGGTTGGGAACCACTGTATTACAGTACCACGAGAGCTGAAGAGCGCAGACTGCTCCGTGCGTTTTCGAATCGCTCTCGCAGATGTCAAACACTGATCGATCTGCGCCGCGCCTCTAGTCGAACACACTGGGCTAGTGCTGCAGGCTTATTGGCTCACTGACGCTGATGAGATTAACCCCTTAGATATCGAAATTTGGTACCGAACGACGAGACGTTATCGAGGCATTTCGGTCGGTGCCTAAAAAGTATCGAACTCGATACCCAGCCCTATCAGTCAGTGATCATAAGTGTTTCTGTGCACTTCCTCTAATGAAGCTGCTGATCAGGACAGGTGCGTCGCGTGACCGGATCTTCAGGATGTTCCTGGATGTGATCATTTATTGTGCAAGACTGGGATCGTTCACATGTACACCTAAGATTAATTACTAGAGATGCTTTTTTAAATGCATTTAAATGTAATTCTGTCTCAGCTCAACTCAAGTCCCTGGTCTAAAGTAAAACCAACACATGAATGAAGAAGAAAGTCAAAAATAAATGTCACGGATTAATATTTACTGATTAATCCACAGTTTTGTAGAGGGGGGTCAAAATGACAATTTTCACCTGAGATTTGGAGACAAATTGCAGGAGGGTGAAAATGACTTTAGAAAGATGGTAGCAGCATTATGTTATTTTAACAGAGATTGTTATAGGTCTCTTAGTAAAATTAGTTAACTTTAGCAATCTTTGTTGCATTATATGCCAAATGTGACTGTTTAAAAATGGGGGAAAGCACCTTCCATGTTTTTTCTCAATGCAGCGCCATGTGCAAATAGTTGAATTTTACCCATTTTCAGTGTTGAAAACCAAACATAACTTACAGATGATACTCATATGCATATGGGACTTAACAAAAGTAAAGTATTTGAATAAAAAACTGAATTCTCATCAAAGCTCATCAAGTATAAAATATCACCATAAGCCAAACTCATAGTTAATGGTACTAACATTAAGGCGCAAATTATTTTTAGTTTTAGATGCAATGGCTTTATTAAAGCTAATAAATAAAAAAAATCATTAGATTGATCGCCATTAATTATTTGTGTTAATCTAACTGCTATGGCTTCTCCAATGTAAGTCTGTGGAAAACTGTATGTGAGATTAATATTTGGATGTTCACACATCTAAACATATAACATGTTCAAGTTATTGACATGAGCCAGAAAGGCAACATCTGATCTGTCTGAGGAGCTGTAGACAAGTTTTAATCTTTGATCCTAAACCTTCATCTTTCTTGTAATTACTTAGATGAGTTACTCTGTAAGTGTGTAAAAAATTAACTTGCTTCGTAAACTTAAGGTCCACAGGTACGAATGATTCTGTAAATGAATATGAATGGTGGAAGTCACAACAAAAAAAGCAGGAACATTTTTCTTTAAAGCTCTGTGTGACTCATGAGCCCACAGACGTGAGCACAACACCAGGATATAAAGCACAAAATCAACCACAAACACCTCATCAATTATTAATAAACCACAACAACTTGCAATAGAAAGTCAAATATTAATAAACTGATTTATTCATATAATGTTTTAAGTTTTCTCAACTCTAATAATATATACACTGCCATACAAAAGTTTGGGGTTGATGAGATTTTTGAAAGAATTTTGCTCACCAAAGCTGTTTTTATTTGATAAGAAATACAGTAATATTGTGAAATAGTATTACAATTTAAAATAACTGGTTTCTATTAAATATAACATAAAATATAAATTATTCCTGTGATGTAAAGCTGAATTTTCAGCATCATTACTCCAGTCTTCAATGTCACATGATCCTTCAGAAATCATTCTAATATGCTGATTTGCTGCTCAAGAAACATTTCAATTTTCAGGATTCTCTTCAAACAAAACATTTATTGGAAATAGAAATCTTTTTAACATTATAAATGTCTTTACTGTGACGTTTGATTAATTTAATGCAACCTTTCATCAAAAAATCTTACTGACCCCAACCTTTTGATGCTGTATGTTTAAGGGGGTGGTTCATTGCGATTTCACTTTTTTTTACTTTAGTTAGTGTGTAATGTTGCTGTTTGAGCATAACCAATATCTGTTACGAAGTTCCGAAGCTGAAAGATCAATGCAAATGGAGATATCGTCTTTTAAAATTCTGGCAGTTTAATGCCTACAAAAACGGCTGGTAGGGACTACAACGAGCTACTTCCTGGGTTCGTGACATCACAAACCCAGATAAACCCCGCCCTCGGGAAAAAGCAGCAAAGGGGGCGAGGCCATGCTGCGCTGCTTTAGAGAAGAGGAAGAGAAAACTAGAGGTGCAGGTAAAAATCTATTCATATATGAATTGCGATTCTGTCTTCTAACGATTCTAATGGATTCACAACTTTCAAAATCAATGTTCTAAAGCAACGGTTCTCAATACTGTTCCTCGCGTTCCCCTGCCCTGCATCTCTCTCTCATTCAGCTCAGCTCCAACAATGAACTGTTTCAATTATACACTTATTTTCACATAGCTATGAGAAGCGTTAAACATTGCCGTACTGTATTAAAGTTTTAATCAGGATAAAACCGTATATTAAAAGCTAACAGAAGCAGTAGCATTTACAAATAACAGCATATCTAAAAGTATGAGACAACAACAAACAAAAAACATAGGCCTGCCATTAAAAGCCGTGCTTGCACAGGTTCTGCACGATCCTCTTCAATAATATCCTCTGCTTCTCAATCGGGCTCAAACTGATAAGCGATATTAACAATGCAGTTTTTTACAATAACAACCGAAGCACATGCCGCTGAGGTGAGGGGCGGGACGATTAGA